TCTCTCTCTCTCTCTCTCTCTCACACACACACACACACACACACACACACACACACACACACAGACACAAAACCACCATCACAGTCAGCGGTGTCACCCTCGTCTTCGGCAAACTGCTCGCTGCGGTTGTCGGATTTGGGGTCATCCTCAACAATTTGTTTGTGGGGCTTGCACCGCTGTTTTTTTTTTTTTTTTCCGGCTTTGCAGCCGGACCAGCGGTCGTGTTTTTCCGAGGCCTGCCACGTAGAAATTTTGGCTTCGTCCGTTCGTCTTCACAGGGCGCCTTCCTCTTCCTCCCAACCCTGCTGACCCACAGGTTGTCGTGTTGGGCTTCTGCTTTGTTGGCTGGGAAGTCGGGGGAATTCTCCGGTGAGCCAGCAGCCTCCACAGTTTGCTTTCGTCCCTTGTACACGGTCGTCGGTGCATGCTGTCGCTCCTCCTCCTCGATGTTCTCCGTCTTTTCCTGCTGCAACTCCTTCTCACTCTCCTCCAGCTCCTCTTCTTGCTGTTCCGTGCCCTCCTGTTGCTCCTGTTCCATCCGCTCCTCTCGCTGCTCCATGCGAGCCTCTTCTTCTTCCTCCACTTGCTCCTCCATCTTTTCTTCTTCCTCCCCTGGCTGGCCAATCTCGTGTTCTGCCGCCTCCTCTCGCTGGCCCATCGCCTCTTCTTTCTCCTCCTCTGGCCGGCCCATATCCCCCACTGGCTCCGATCCTCGCTCTCCAACCTTCTTCTTCAGTTTCTCCAATTCTTCGTGGGTTGGTATAGTTGCGCGTCGCTCCTCCTCCTCCCTCATTCTCCTTTGCACCCGTTCTTGATCCGCATCAGCCCATGCCTTTGCACAGTCGGCCTCCTCCTCATCTGTATTGATTGGACCGGGGCGAAGCACCATCTCCATGTCGGTGTCAGTCTGTGGTAGCTCGACATCCGATTGGATGTTGTAATGCGCTATGGTGTTCGCCGTACATTGAGATGGTGTTGTGGGCGGCCGTTCTCGACGGCGCTATGCTGCTTCCCTCCTCCCAACATATGTGGTGCACGGGATTGACGGGGGGATTCCCAACTCAAAGTCATCGTCCGATGACTCATCAACTTCCCCTTCGCTAGAGGCTTCCGACCATGGAGTCTTCCCCTTCCACACCTCGTCGTCAAGGTCGCTGTCGTCGGTGCACTCCTCCTCCTCCTCTTCGTCTTTGAGGCTCTTCGGAATCCGGCCCTTTGGTGTCTTGATGAAGGCCCGTTCCCGCACCAGCTCCTCCTCCGTCTTGTCCTTCTCCTCCACGGGGTCCTTCAAAATAGAACCACTGTCCACCTGAGGCTCCGGAAGAGACTCGAAGAACTGCGCCCATAAGTTGATGTAGCCATGGTCCTTCAAGTTCTTCCCGGACTGCAGCAGCTGCATATTCCAGTGAATATACACCAACTTCTGCAGGGTTGAGGGGTTCAACCGATTCCGCCACTTCGAGTGGACCAAGTCCATCGAAGACCAATTTCGCGCTGCCAGAGTCACCGTGCTCCACATTCCCATTACTTTCATGGCAATGGCCTGCAGCTCCGGCACATCGCCGCCATGAGTTGCCCACCACTCTGATGGCGAGATGGTGTTAGAATCTGCGACCGCATCACCATCCCACATTTTCTTGTCCTTCCGCCGGGGGTTGTACCCGGTGGGTTTCATGTGGAACTCTCGCAGGTCGCTGAGCATTTGCACGTGGGCGTTTGATTTCCAAGGACCGCCGATCTACCACTGCAAATAACGCAGCGCATTCTGCACAAGTGCGCTGTCCCGGTCCAACAACCACTTCGACTCTCTCCTTCGTGGGTCGAGAAGAAAAGCCAAGGCATGAACCGGTTGTTGCATCATCTTCATGTGGTCCCTCACCTTCTCGAGCACCGTACGTCGCTGCTCCTTCGTCAGCACAACCTCCGCCAGCATCCTCTCCATTAGTTGGTCGTACTCCACAAGGTTTGACAGGGCAGTCGCGTCCTTGTCCATCCTCCGAAGCAATACATACAATGGCTCCATCACCTCCACCACCTTCTTCAACTCCGGCCACCAACCCTCCCTCTGCAATGTGAAGAAGACAAGATCCGCTTTGGACTGCAGCTTGGTCGTCTACCACCGCATCACCTTCCATCTCCCGACTAGGCTCCCTTCAACCACATGCTTCAAAACCGCCCTCCAATCGTACAACCGCTCCATCATCATGTAGAACGACCCAAAACGGACCTTGGTCGGTCACAACAGTGATAATGAGTCGTCCAACGACATCATTAGGCTATGTGTGCAATGGTGGTTCCGTATAAACTTCACAACGGTGTGGCTCCGCTTCACCGTGCCCTTGATCCAATCCAGCTTGCTTATGTCCCGTAGCAGCAAGCTGCAGCAATGTGCAGCACACGGAACCCAAGGTATCCGTCAAATTGCCAAGTCCGTGCACCCTCCAAAATTTGTGTGGCTTTCTTGTTCACCTCCGCATTGTCGGTGCAAATTGTATTGATGCGTTGCAGCCCGACCTCCCTCATTATCATCTCCCAAAGTCTGGCCAGAGCTGCTGGTCCGGTCTTCTTCTTTCCATCCATCGGCACCGTTGCCACTAGGGCCGCTCCTTGCTCTCCCGCCGCCAATAAATTCATGGCAGGCCTTTCCCTCCGATCAGTCGACCCGTCCGTGATGAAAGTGTAGCCCGTGACATCCCAGCATGCAGTCAAAGGCTGCACTTGCTTTTGAATGCGCAAAAAGATAAAGTCGAGCATCACCGTCTGGATGTGCTTCGCAGAAGGCAATTTCACCTTCGGTCGTGCGCTAGCCATCTCCAAATACACCTCGTGCAGTTTGAGAGTGGTGTTGAAGTTCAAAAAATTGAACGGGATTCCTGCCCGAAACATTGCCTCCACCCATGCAATGTCCAACTTCTTTTGAGCTGCGTTGTCCACCGATCTCGTGATGGTCATTTGTTGCACCAGAGCCACCCTTGTGGTGGATTGACACTCTTCTCGCAGCGCCTCCCCCGCTGCATTTTCCTTTCCCCGCTGCGCCATCTCCTCGACCGGCTCCCTCCCTGCAGCAACCGGCGGTTGTGGCTCCTCGTAACCACGACGAACAACCGCGTTCGCACCATCGTCATTTGCTGCAGCCCCCCCCTCCGAGATGTTGTGCAGCTGTCGTTGGTTCTGCAATAGGTAGCGAGTCTTCTTGTCGCTTGGCAGCACCTTCGCCCCTTGGGGCACCCTGTCCGGAAAGGGCACGACTTGAGCATCTTCATGAAGTGCTCAACTGCTCGTGTGCCCGTGCCCCTCCAAATGGTCGAGCATAGCCGACACCTCAGCCAATACTCTCCCCGGCCCTTCAGCACAGCCTCCTGCCCTTGTTCCACGTGCTTCCATATCTCCTTCTCGCCATGCGGCTTCTTTTGCCTCCATTCAGGCTGTGGGACGAACAGCGAGGGGTCAGTAGCCGGTGTCGGTTCTTTAGAAGTCACCCCCGACGAAGGTGTACTTGAGCTGGCGATGTCCTTCCCGCCTCTCCTCTTTCCAACTGCCTCCGACTTCCTTGTCCACCAATCGCACCTCTTGCACTGCTCCCACCAGCCATGGTGCTGCAACCACCTCCTCCCTGCACCTTCAATTCTCGCCCTGCAGCTTAACAATGTTCAAGAAGAAGAAGAAGAAGAAGAAGAAGAAGAAGAAGATGGATTGATGAATGGATGGAGAGAGGGAGGGAGGGAGGGACAACGAGAAGAAGAAGAAGATGGATGGATGGATGGATGGATGGAGCGAGGCGGGGAGGAATGGCGAGATGCGAGGATGGAGGGATGGAGGGAGACTGCTTAACAAGGTCCAAGAAGAAGAAGGAGATGGATGGATGGAGGGAGGGAGGGAGGGAGTATGGCGA